CATAAGGAAGAATTTCTTTACTGTCCGAGCCCCCAAGGTCTGGAACAGCCTGCCATCAGAGGTGGTTCAAGCACCTATATTGAACACCTTCAAGAGCAAATTGGATGCTTATCTTGCCGGGATCCTATGACCCCAGCTGACTTCTTGACCTTTGGGTGGGGGGCTGAACTCAATGATCTTCCGAGGTCCCTTCCAGCCCTAATGTCTATGAAATCTATGAAATGAGTATAGCTAACCTTGATTTTCAAATGTTTGGCATAGCAATGCTGCAATATCGCAGGCAGGTGCCTTGGGAACCCTCGGTCTTTCAAGGCATTTTGTAGCAGATAATTTTCTTGAGAGCCATGCAACAAAGTTGAGAGTGGGGCTCGCCAGCTGCTCTGGTCATGGAGAGTTTCCACATCTTGCCAGTTGAATTTCTCTCCAAAAAGAGCAGCTCAGCCTGCCTAAACTGGCTGGCACACGGGTGAAAACCAAGGCAAGCTGGAAATGTGGTTTCCTTCCATTGATTGCTCTATCCCTGGTGGTTCATGAGCAGGAGAGCAAGGAGCCTGGGGAGAAAAGGGAAGATGAGTCCTTAATTCCATTGGCTCCAGAAGAAAACATTCCCTCTAGTGTTGATCTGTTGTGTGTGGCTGAGTTTTCCTCAAACTGCCTCTCTCTGCTGTGTTATACTAGCTGTCCATGTCAGAAGGAGCAGGATTAAATGGAGTGAAAGGACTGTGTTTATTCCCCTTATAGTCTTTATGGAGCAACATATCATCTACAAGGGAACTTCTCTGTGCTACGTAGAGAACATAGAGTGCAAGGAAGTTCTGTGTTCATGAGCCGCAGTTGGCGAGGTGCATCCATGGATTAGGATGAGCAGAACCACTGTGCATCTGCTCCCTCTCCCTTATGCTATAATTACTCAGCCAGAGAGAAAGTGTTCTAGAGAGCACCCATGCTTAGCCTGAACAAGGAGGCACCTACACCCAGAGTCAGAGGAAGTGCTTTGCATTAACACAGTTATTGGTTCAATACAGTAGGCTCCTTCCTTCCCCATAACTGATGTGATGGAGAGGGTGGGGACTGAGTATCTTTGGGGGAAAGGGAGCTAGCTGCTAGGCCAAAGTTTAGGTGATGGCTGGACTCAACCATGGATATAAGTTTAATGAACCTCATCCTAATCCTTACGTCCCCCTTCATCAGGACAAAAAAAAAGAAGATAAAACAGGGCAAGGTGAGCAGCACCAGCTCCAAAGATGCCCCTAGCCAACAACACATAGTGATATGAGGGTCAGGATTCCTTTATTTACAAGAAAGGGGAGTGTAAAGAGCTTTTGTGTTGTGTACGTTATACAAGGGAAATCCAGTGCCCAAGCACCAGAGCCAGCCCTGGCTCAGGGCTAGATCTTATAAGGTCCCCATTATAATGAATCCTGAGTAGTTTCTGGGTCTGCATGAGGAAGGGAATGGAAGCTGATGAACAATTTGGGGTTGGGCTTTCTTTGTGAACAGTGTAAGAGTGAGAACAAAGGCTTAATTCTGATGCCACTTACACCAGGGTAAATCAGGAGTAACTGTGTTGAAGCCAATGGACTTCAACTGATGTGAAATCAGCATGAGTGAAATCAGAATCCAGCCCCAAGCCCCAAGCAAACCCAGGTGGGAAATCTTGTTTCTCTGTAAGAGCACTGGGATGTGATCCTGACATCTTCGCAGGAGAACAAAGCAAGTGAACAGAATGTAGTAGTATATACTGTGCATGTAATGACTGGGTGGGCCTAGGCCGTATCTAACATATAAAGGTGTTTAATTTATACACATGCTCTGGAGGCATTTTGGGGGGGGGTGTAGTGCAGCTCTGAGATCCATAGTAATTAAAAGTTCCTGGAGCATCATGCGTATCAACGTCCTGTACTGAAAAATGGTTGTCGGGTGCTTTGAGCTAAAGCTCATCAAATGCTGACACGCATGATGCTGGAGTCTGCTGGAACGCGGTAATTTCCACGCTCCAGTAGACTCAATGAATTGAGTCTGCACCAATGCTCTGAAATTTCAGTGCATTGGAGCAGGCTCCCTGCACTTGTATAGCAGCCCTAAGTGCAGCACTATGGCAAGCAGCTGTGGGTTTAGGTATATAAGAGGGGCAGATCTGATGTGTCAGAAAGTGCTGGTTAAATTTTTCTAACAAGGGGGCCTAGGTCCAGGCCAGCTCTATAATAGCAAAACACAGCCCTCATTGTCAGCAGTTAGTCAAGGCCACATAAGAACATAAGCAGTGTCATACTGGGTCAGATCAATGGTCCACCTAGCCAGCATCCTGTCTTCCACAGAGGCAGGAGTGAATGCTTTAGAGGGAGAGCATATGACAGGGTATATAGGGAGTGATATATCTCATGTCTCTGGCATCTCCCATCTATTGGTTTAGAAATGTCAGAGGATACAACCCAACTTTCTTCTTGATAGCTATTAACAGATCTATCATCCTTGAATTTCTCTAGTTCTTTTCTGAACCTGGCTATGCTTTCTACTTTTATACCTTCCTGTGGCCATGCTGCATAAAAAAAAGAACTTAAGAACTTTCTCTTGTTAGTTTTAGACCTGTTTCCTGTTGATCTCAGTGGGTGCTATCTAGATCTGGGATTCTGGGACTTAGCCTCCCAGGATACAATCATGGTGCAAGGCTGGGGTGGTAGGATGCTGCTCCCCATCCCAGGGAAAACATGGGGCACTGCAGAGCCACCACTCTACTGTGCTTCCATGGCAGGAAATCCTAGCATTTATTTTCATGTGGGAGGCAGTTCTAGAGAAAGCAACATGTAGGGGTAGAAGCTGAAAGCAGGTAGGAATGAGGTACACCAGAGGCAAGCCAGAGAAATGGCACATCTGAAAACTAGGGACTTTTCCACTGGCACCACTGAGGTAGGATTTAGGACCGCCATCTCAGTTACACTTGTACAAGAGTGAAATGTTCCACAGAAGTTGTGGAGTTGCAATGGATTCCCACATGTGGGAAGGAGCGAAATCCAGCCTGGTTTCCCTGTGAAACTGTTTCTAAGCCAGGCATCTCCATGCACTTTATTGAAAAACATTAGAATTTGGCAGTGCAGTAACAAGAGTGTTCAAATAACCTAGACCACATGCAAGGTATGGTTAAGCATACAGCTGGAGATTTGACATGCTGACTGGTAAAGCAAAGGACTGAGCTGCGTGGAAAGCTGGGAAAGGCTCCCGTTGTGAAAGTTTTTGTTGTGAAAGAACTTACCTAAGTTCCCTGCATCCTTTCCCCGCTTTTCTTCTTCTCTAGCCTGTTCCAGCATCTCCCATCATAGCAGCCAAAGTGTGAGTGGCCCGTCCGATAGCCTCCTTCATCCAAGGATGCTGTTTGCTCCAGGCAGAAGAAACCAGGCTCCTCTTATGTCTCACAGTCACACCAATACTTTTATTCCCACCCAGCCTGTAGAGACTTAGGCACAGCTCCCAGCTGAAGGTTTTGTCTGTCAACAGATTTTTAAGTCTGGCTTGCAGCTACCTTCCGTCCCCCTCCACACCTCTTCTCCATGCCTCAAGGAATGCACATTTTCAAGCACCGACACTGTTTCATTTGATTCTTCTTTCCCACCCGAGATGGTGGTGGTGGGGGGAGGGAGCCTTTCTTTGAAGGCCACCACTGCATGAGCAGCCCTCGTGCTCCACACACCATGCTCGCCGCTCCACAGTCAGCACCGTTTTGTTGACTCAAAGTCCATGATCCCACCACACGTTCCATGCATCATTCTGTTGCTGCACCTCGCTGTGCTAACAGGCCTCCATATGTTTCTTTTTTGCTTTTCTCCTTTTTATGCAGTAGAAATACTCTTAATTCCATAGGCTTAACATTTTGCAAGCATTTCAGTAATGTACCGTGCTACCTATCGAAGGTAAGACTACAAACAGCAGAGATGGACTCATCGCCTCTCCCAGGCAGTCACTGTCACTAAGGGAGGGCGGGCAGATGCACTAGCGTGGGGTTGCCTTCCAAGGGCTCATGCACGCCTCTCTCACACAACGTCTCATGTTCTCTCTCCTTTCTCTCCCTGGCTTCAAGAGAGGTAGTGCCTACAGGGTATGCTGTATGGCCAGAGCAATCCCGCTGTGTCTGCCATTTCCCATCAAAACCCTGTGCCAACTATAGACACGAGAAGCCAGAGCCACCCCTTCTGCTGAACTTGGGGGCTCAGGCTTCAAGCCATAGGCTTGTTTCACAAACAAGTGGACTCGGTGTCTGTAGAGCTGTATACCACTCTTCTGTGATGGCAGACTGTACTGTGCTCTGGCTAGCCATCCAAAATCCCCTGAAGGGAACTAATTCCCTCCTAAGCAACAGGCCCCCAAGTACCTACCTTAAATCCATCCCTGCCAAATGCCTTGTGCTGCCTCAACCATCACTGTGGCGGGGAGCCTTGGCCACCCAAGACCTTCCATATTCGGTAGCGTATAGGCATGACTGTAGAGCAAAAGCCACCAAACTGGCCTTTCAGACTTCTAACTTTCTCTTCTTCCTTCCTTCCACCTCCCACAGGGTCCACTCACATCCTCACTCCACAGAAACTGCTGGACACGCTGAAGAAACTGAATAAAACAGATGAAGAAAGCAGCAGTTAAAAAACAAAACAAAGCAAATGAAACAATGATGAAAATCAACTTCCCAGCTCATGGCTGCCCTCCCGTTAGCTGTCCCATTAAACGTTACTTTGCTGAATCATGGGTCCATCTCCCACTCCAAGCCAAGCTTTCTCTCCTGTTCTTGTGTTGAAAAACCTTCCCCTAGTCCCTCCCTGCCCTCATCCCTCATTTTAACCACAGGGAGGGAATAAAAAGTATGCATTGTGTTAAAAAGAAAAATATATTCTATATATAGATATTAAAAAAACCCACCAAAACCAACTCATTTTCAAGTAACCCATTTACCCATTGCTAGAGAAAATTTTTTCCAAATGTTTTTTTTTCCCCCCTTCCTTCTTCTGTATGGATGGATGGATGCGCCTGAATTATTTATGGCTATGTGATCTTGTACCTAACCCAGATGTAAACCTGAATGCGCCGTGTGGGAATTTGCTCAAGTTTGAAATTGGTAGAGTTCTTTTTTTGTTGCTGCTGTCAGTGTTTTTCCTTGGTTTTCCTTTGGGGCGGGGAGGGGGAGGTTCTTGAATGTGTAGTTTTTTGTGTTCGTGGAGGAATATGTTAAATTGAGGGTCACCCATGATTCCTGTCCTCCGCTCCTCTGGGGCTTACCCTCTGGACAGATGTTGAGGTGGGCACACATCTGGACAAATCAATCATGTGAGTGCTGAAGAGTTGGCCTCTGGCTTTGAATGTCTAGATGGGGCTTCTGGGAGCAGCCAATCAGGACTTTATGTACTGGAATGTTGCGTTAGATTTGCAATAACCAATCAGCTCATTGGCTTATCTGGTCTGGTGTCCCGACTGACAGTGACCAATAGCTGATGCTAATCAAAGGAAGGCAAAAAGCCTCATGGTGCATTTAACTAATGCAAGGAAAAGGGCAAGGAAAATATCTTACCTTCTTTCAGGGATTGTGCTGCTGTGAACAGGCATTAGTTTTTAATGAAAAATGTGATCCTAGACACAATTCACAGAGAGAAAGGAGGCACATTTAAAAGTGCGGCCCCTTAGCATAATAACTGCCATAGAAAAGGCCAGACCTGTCCAGGCTTGCTGGTGCCTCAGTTTCCTTGCAGTGGAGGGCTGCAAACTCTCCATGCCCTTTCTACCAACACTTTAACCCCTTTCCTTTCTGACTTCAGTTTGGCGTATTCCTTAAAGACAATTAAAACACTGGATATTTTGTTTTGAAATGTGTGGGGTCAAAAAGTCTCTCTTTGCTTGCAAAAAATAAATGAATAAAGAAACAAACCAAGGCCATTTATATCTCAGTATTGAACTTATGTTTAAAAAAAAAGAATAATAAAAAAAAAAAAGGCCGTTGTCTTCTTGGTTTCGTCTTGAGGTCCCCTCTGCAGTCCTGCACTGACCCATGTAGCACGCCTCTGCCATTTGTTTTTGCTGTTGTCGTCCAGTAGTGAAATGTTGATGACTGTGGAAGTCGCCAAAACTCCCTCTGGCCCTCCTAAGTCTCTCCAGCCTGTCCCTATCTCACAGCGGACTGTGTGTATATTAATTAATGTGTCTTGTGATGTTCTTACAAGCTTGGTGTATAGTGGTTTAACAAGACCTTTTTATTTTTAAATTATTCCTCCTTTCTTTCTAGCCCTGCCTCCTGCGTTAGATGCACTGCAATATTTTTGGGTCTTTTTTTGAAGGCATTGAACCCATCCCTACCTCCCATTAAGCCTTCTCTCCCTTGGCTCATTGATGTTTAGGTTTCTTCTTCTCATCTCCCCTTTGTTCCTTGCCCATAAAGTTAAATATATATTTTTAGGGCAAAGGCTGTATACATTTGCACTGATATTTATTGGTTCCCCTCCTGTTCCTTTTGATTTTCTTTTTTTCTCTTAATTAGCAATGCAAATGCTTCAGGATCTTATATGTTGGACATATTTTCTTTTTTCTGTTACAGTTATTTATATAAAAATAATTTATCAAAATGGAAAATTAAAAAAAAACTAGTCTGTCTTGGAACTCGTTTACCTGAAATTATTGGAATCTAAATGTTTGAAAGTGTTGAAGCACAAACATGTATCATCTCTGTATATCTGTTCTTATGTACTAAAGCACTTGAGTCAATAAATAAATGCGCTCCCATACATGGTGCAAAAGGCTGTCTAGGATGTTGTGCGTTTTGACTGGCTGGGAAGGAAAGGGGGCTTGGAGAGATCATCACAATCAATGATAGGGCTGGTTACAATGGGATGAAGGAGAATTGCAAACTTCTGATGATTTTTCCCTTTGTTGGACTGACGGTTCATTTTCTCAGTTTCCATCCATAAGCTGCTAGCCAAAAAAGGGGGCAAAATAATTTATGAATGTCTTCAATCCATTCCCCTCTTCTGACCCCCCTTCATTTTTCTGGAAACTTTTCAAGGAGATAAAAGATTATACACATTTCAAGCAATTCTAGCTGAGTTTTCTGGCTAGACGCACAGGTTGGCTTCATGGAGGTGAGAGTACCGGCCCATCAGGGCTGGCACAGAACCCCCTTGTAATGCATTGGTAATAACACCCAGTTTGTGGGCCATGCCTCCTGCAGGAGCATTTTGCTGTCTACAAGAACATATACGCTTTGAAGTGCCGCCCATGTAGACACAGCTATGCCAACAAAGTTTAGCACTGGTACAAAAAACCCCCATCCTCACAAATACATTGCCTGATGCTGTTACTGCAGCAGGATCAGCAGAGCCTTCCCTAAATGCAGAATCCAGACCAAGATTTGGAGAGACTCCATGTGATGTTGCTATGACTGGGTTTGTCATTCTGGACCACCCCAGGCTATGGTAGCTTTGCTCCAGTGGAGGTGGTTCTGTGGTCTCTGCTATGAGGTCCTCTTATTTCCCTAGCCACAGAGAAACAGTGAGTGCAAAGTTGATTTCCTTACCTTAATTCCTTCAGGAAATCAAAGCTGATTTCCTTCCTCTTTGTTGTCACACATTAGCTGCTTTGTTACTGTTGGGTAGCTGCCTACAGTGGTTTGTTTTCATTTATATAACAACAATTAGAAAGTTTGCAAAACAGCATACTGATATTTATGATGAGATGCCAAGGGTGGAAAAGCAGAGGGCATATAAATGTGACTGTGTCTACTTAGCGATCCCAGACCCTCTGCAGGATGCAAGTTAGATGGAGGAGATCCTACCTGAATGGCACAGAAACTCTCAGGCCTTGACAGCATTTCTTCATCCACATGCCACGAGGGGGCACCCCACGCCACCTTCCTGCACAGCGAGTATATGCCTTACTACTGCTGGCGGGAAAGATGGCATAAACCAAAGAGCCAGATTTAAAAGAGAAGTATGTGGCAGTTCTCCATCCCTCTCCCTTGTTTTCCATACCAGTCCTCCTTTTACAGAGAGACAAACAATGCCAGTTGGCTTGCTAGCTTAGGATCACAAACAAGACCAAAAGGGACTTGCTTAAGTTGTCTGATACAAGCTCTGGACATCCTGCTGACTGTACAATAAGGATGAAGCATTTTGGCCACCTGATTGCAAATGAGGCACCTGTACCCATTAGACAAAGTTGTGGGAGCAGACGTGACTCCCTTAAGCAGAGGAGACTATTTGATGTGGTGGGATTAGCAGAGCCAAGTGAAGGTCTCAGCCCATCTGTCCTGAGATGGAGCGTTGCCACAGCTCTTGGCTCCTACTACACGCCATACTGACTGTTGCGTATCTGCAGGTTCCTAGCAACAGCAGACTCCATGTGGCCTAATATGTTCTCCCCTTTTCCTTGTTTTAATGGGCTTAGATGAATAGAGAATGTTTCATTTTGGAAGGGTATTGAGCTGGAGGGTTGGACATATGGAAACACCTGAAACAGTTCTTTTTATCCCTGAAATGCCCAAGAACCCATGTACCGCAGGTTTGTCTAGGCTTGCACTTTCTGTTTAAGAGATGCCAGCCTCGCCAGGGTAACCAGGTTGCCTAGATTCCAAACACAGTCACCAGGTGAAAAGTGAAGTCTTTGGAGTTTTTGGTGTGGAAAGCAAAACTGAAGCTACAACTTGGGAGAAAGGCTGTGTGGCTTAACGGGACACTAGTCAGCCAGTGGTCTTTGTTTCAAAGTGCCTAACAAGATCTTCAGAAGTACCTTGGTATCAACATAGTAATACCTAGAAGACCCTGAAAGTCAGGATGTGCCTCTGACCTGTTGTGTGATCTTGAACAAGTGATTTTCCCTTTCTCGCCCACCCATGATCTGATTCTTTGGTGGAGGGGCTGCTTCTTACTATTTATATGTACAGCACCTAGCCACATTCAGTCTTCATTTTAGTTGGGATCTTCAGGCAGTACCCAAATACAAATACTGATTAGGCTGGATGGTGATGTTTCCTGAAGCACAGAGACGTGTCCAAAAACACGAGAGACTTGCTTTTACAAAACAAACAAAACAGAATTTATTTCCTTAAAAAATAGGCAATCATTTCATTACAAAATACTGTCCAAATGACTCTGCTAGATTATTACAAAATGAGAGATGCAGAAAATGTAACCTTCATTTCTGGTTATTGCATTTCAATAGAATTAAGTATCCACACACGTGCACACACTAATTTCTTGCACTCTCCCAGCGAGGCTGGGTTAATCACAGTTTCCTGGTTTCAATAGCTCAAGCTGCTCTTGGCCATAGTACAACTTGCTTTGCAATAAGAAAACAAGCACATGTGCAAAATTTAAAGCTGCTTTAAGCAGGTGCAACTCCTGCAGAGTTGATGATGTTGCACCCTTAAATACTGGGCCCGAATTTGGCCCACCCAATGGAAGCTGCTTCTAGCAAAGTCTTAACTCACACAGATCAACTTTGCTCTGAGCAGACCTTTCCTATTAAACAGGAACTGCTGTTTGCTACAGCGGATGTACCGAAAAGGGCCTCTCTCTCCCTCCCTGACAACATACCAGTATGTTGTCAGTGGGTTCCAGTGACCATGGGCGGAGCTATGCAAGCATGCACATGCATGCACACCCTCATAAGAGGTTAATCTTAAGAGATGATGTGAAAGTATCCCTGACTCAAGGGAGGTCTGCTCTCTATTTTGATTTGAAGACCATCTCTGTTAAGCAACCCTGTTTTTTCAATGTTTTTTGAAACAGGCTTCACTGTTGATGGTGTGATGGATCAACCATAACTTCCTCTTACCCTGTGATTCAGTCCGTGGTGGGACAACTTCTTCGGAGTCCCCACAAGTTCCCTAAAATGAGCAGGACCTCCTGATTTGCCTTCTGCATTAAAAACAGTCACCACTGGGTTTATTATATATTAAAAAACAATGTTTTAAAATGGACAGTTGGGGTAAGACCTATGTATAGAGAAAGTCACACAGATTGGGTCACTTGCAGGTGCCCCTTTCCTTAAGATGCCGTCGGGCATCCTGATAGGCATCCAAAAATCACCATTTGCTTTGAAAATCTTGTCTGCATACAAACCTGCATTGGTTTCACTCAAGATGTGATTTTAAACCCATGCAACAACACTAACACAGGTATGCATATGTATGTGTGTGAGAGAGAGAGAGAGAGAGAGCATTCTTAATTGGTATAAAGCTGGCTGAGAGCAGATTAGCTCATGTTCGTTGTATCTTGATATCAGACGGATTTAAATCACTATAAAGTGTCCACATGAGGGTTTAGTTGAACTGGTGTTCAATCAAATCAGTGCAACGTCTATGTGTAGACCAGCATGACTAGCTGACTCTCTTGCAAACCTTCCAACGCCAGTTTATTGTATGCTGGTTTCATTTTTGGCTCATGAACTCAGGACAATTTTCAAAGACGATTCTACATCTCACTTCCTCTCTGAATGGGAAACCAGAGTCCGAGTTCTACTTGCAGCCTCCATTCTCTCCTGGATTCTCCTAGGGCTTATGTGGCACATGGGGTTGTCCAGCTCAAGTGTTGAAAGTAATGGCCAGATGCTCTCTGAGCTGCTGCTTTAGCAGCTACAGTTAAGTACCATGTTTAGTGGTTGAGTGTGAGTGACCCCTTCACAAAACGTCTGCCTCTGCTGCAATAAGGAAAGGATCTTGCTAGAATGGAAGCTTTCAGAGTTCAGTCTGGGAACCAGATCCATTTTAAACAGGATAAAGCACTTCACAGTGCTGGGCAGGGAGCAATCCTGGGATGTATCCTCATGCAGAGAATCTCCTGTGCAGAAAATCCAACCTCCTTTGATCCATGCTAACCTACCCTCTGGCAAGAGAAACACAGCCTCAACAGTGCCTGACCCCTTCTGCAAAGCCCCATCAGCTCCATAAGCTGCTGGGTTATGCTGATACTGCACAACCTCAGAAACAAAGGCGCTTGCCCCAGCTCCCTGGGGTGGCTGTGTGACTTTCTGACTACTCATCTAACAAGCCCCAGCATATACACTGTATTGGCACAGACAAACACCATTATAAGTTAGAGAGGAGTTTGCTTAATGCACCTTCTGATGCATTTAAACACATGCACATTTGGATCAGTTTAAAAAACAAAACAATAAATTATATATAAAACGTCAAGTGCCCTAAGGACTATTTTGAGAAATATATAAACACACACACACATATCCAAGGCCAGAGAAAGAGAGCAAGTTGACCTCACCAGCTACCAAATGAGAAATACTGACTGTATCAACATACCGAGTGGAGTATCTTTAAAGGAATCAATTCAGCTTGATAAAAGTCAAACCTTAAAACTAACTGGACAGGAAAGCACATGTGGTTTTATAAGGAGGAAACATTCAACTTGGCCTCTGATTTATAGGAGGGTTAATTATTAAAAAACAAAACGGGAATTTAAAAACCTAGATCACAATCCTGAAAATGAGACCTGGGTAGATATATAGCTTAGACTCCTATATCTCTATAAAAGCACGCTGACTGTAGTATAAGTGGTTAAAAATTCTTGTTTGAAACTTTTTTTTGAAGTGCTTTTCTTCAAAAATGATTGACTGTGCAGATTTTCTTAAAATGTTGACTTCTTAAAAATAGTTTTTGGTTCTCAGTGATTTTTCAGTTGTTTAGTTATTAATCGCCTTTCTCTCTCTTTTCTCCCCTTGCCCTTTTTCAAAACGCAAGAAAAAGGGAGGGGGATTATTAAAAACAGGAGGGGAAAAAAGATTTTGGGTT